CATTTTATTAGGGGCTCATACAACTCTTATCACAATCCATACACACATCAATTGTGTAAAGCGCATTTGTACATTCATTGCTCTCATCATTCTCAAAGCATTTCCTCTCCACTTGAGCCCCCGGCATTAGGTCCTCATTTCCCCCCTCCCTCCCTGGAATTGTGACTTCTTAACATAAGACATGTAGTCAGTATTCAATTTGCTCCAGTGGTCTCTCTTTGTTGTTGTTGTTGTTCTCCCAGTAGGTTTGTCTATCTCAGGATCTAAACAAAGAATGTGTCGTAAGACTTTTTAAGCTGTATCTTTTTCCCTCTGCCCCTTGAATTTATTTCTGGAAGAAATCAGGTTGGTGGTCCCATAGAGTCTCCTCCACTCCAACAGCTTCCATTTCTGGAACGCTTCTTCCACTAGGTCCTGTGCTGAGGGGTGCTGGCCCAGCCCCTCAAGCCTTACCCCAGCCCTGTGTTATAAGTCCTTTTCCCGATGTTCTGCATGAGATTGGGGAAAATTTAGGTAACTCCCTGAGCCACATAAATGGTCAGTGGTGGCAGCATTCAGAGCCAAAGCCCAGAGGCTCTCCAACACAAGCTTAATCTCTCTCTCTGAAAGATCCTGGCCACAGAAGCAGCCTGGGCTGGAGGACCGAGGCCAACTTCTTAGGCTGGCACTGAGCACCTTCCCCATCTTTCCCCATCCTGCTGCCAGCATCCCTTCCTGGAATGCCTGCTGTTCTCTCTTGAGCCTCACCAAGGTCTTCTCACCTCATACCACCAGCCTTTCTTGCCCACACCAGCCCTCAGGGCTCTGGCCCCCTGCACATTCTGAACTGCTCGGTTGGCATTCAGTCACGTGTTCTCTTCGTAGGTTTCTTGTGTGTGTGTGTGTGTGTGTGTATTGTCATTGTGTGGTTTCTGCATTTATAGGCCTGGGACTGCTGGCTGCCAGCGGGCCACAGCAGGGTCCTGAGGATGCTCCACAGTTTCCGCAGCTGCCGCCTCATCACTTGCTCTGCATTTGGTGGACTTAAGCTAAAGTCGAGAATCAGGGCTTCCTCTCCCTACCCCTTTAATTTGTTTAGATTGTTTATAAAATGCCAAATTGTACGACAAGGCTTTTAATTGGGGGCCGTGGGGTTGGGGAAACAACTCTGTTCCAGGCCCATCCTTTCTATACCTAAATCCCTCTCTTCATTGGCAGCTCCTTGGAGCTACTTTAGCTCATGTTTTTTCTGGCATTTATCTTTAGATTTCAGAGTAATAACTAACCTACAACTGGGAGTCCAGGTGGTCCTGTTGGGTAAGCATTGGCTGCTAACCACAAGGTTGGTGGTTGAAAGCCACTTAGCTGCTCTGAGGTAGAAAAATGAGGCTGTTGGCTCCCATAAAGCTTACAGTCTCAGAAACCCTACTAAGGGTCGCTGTGAATCGACTTGATGGCAGGGTTTAGTGTGGCCTGGTTTGATTTGAGCTTACTATTGGAGCCCTGGCAGCATAATAGTTTTAACTCTGGCCTGCTAACTAGAAAGTTGGTGGTTCAAACCCAGCAGCTGCTACTTGGGAGAAAGGTGTGGTAGTCTGCTTCAGCTAGTAGTACAGCCTTGGAAACCGTCTTGGGCAATCCTCCTGTTCTGCAGAGTTCCTGTAAGTTGGAATGTACTTGACAGTGGCGTTGGGTATTATCACTCATCAAGTTCTTAACTGTTGTGCCACCAGGTTTCTTTGCCCCAGGTATACCTTCTTATTCTCTAAACTCGAGTGTGGTATCGCTTAAGTCTTTGTGATTGTCACAGGGCTTTGTATATGCCTGGGCCTAAAATACCTGTGTAAATTTGCAAATAACTAACTTAGGAGTGTGGGATAGGGAGGGAGAGTGATTGAAGAATGGAGCTTGGGGTAAAGAGGGAGGTATAGACTGAGACATGGAGGGTTCCAGCCAGCTCCTCTCCCCTGCAGCCCTGTGTTCCCCGGGCTCTTTGAGTTCTGCTCCCGTTACACAGGCGCATCTCTGCAAGGAGCAACCCAGCTGAACAACAAGGTGAGCCCTGCTCCCCCTACGTCCCTGGGCACAGGGGCTTCGGCCTCCCAGTCTTAGGTGTGGACTGAGGAGGACTCAGCTGGGTGTTTGCCTTTCAGATCTGTGATATTGCCATTAATTGGGCCGGTGGTCTGCACCATGCCAAGAAGTTTGAGGTGAGTGAAGAGGTGATGGGGAAGACCATGGCCACCCCCGAGTGGGTGGTCAAGATGGCAGAGGGGGACAGCTGCAGGGAGATGCTCCAGTCTTCATCTGTTGACTGTCTTGCCCTAGGCCTCGGGCTTCTGCTACGTCAATGACATTGTCATCGGGATCCTGGAACTGCTCAAGTATGTAGCCTGTGGGGAAACGAGGGGCTGGCTGAAGCCATTCCTCAGCCTGTGCTCTGACCTCCCCAACCCCTATCCCCTCCTGAGGCTTGATGCTGTCCTCCACTTGCTCTCCTCTGTGCAGCTTGCACTGGGCCTTCCACTCACTCGCAGCCTTCTCAGCACTTCTCTGCGCTCCCTGCCTCTTCTCTCCTGCCGGTGCGCTTAGGGAACTAGTGGGGTTAAGTGTCCGGTGACGTGGCTTCAAGCAGACTCTGCCTCATTACAGATGCCCTGTTTGAGCGGAAGTGTACTGAGTGGGGCTTCTCTCAGGTACCCTCTGCCTTAGCCCGGCATCCCCCTCCCCCCAGGTATCACCCTCGGGTGCTCTACATTGATATTGACATCCACCATGGTGATGGGGTGCAGGAGGCCTTCTACCTCACAGACCGGGTCATGACAGTGTCCTTTCACAAATATGGAAATTACTTCTTCCCTGGCACAGGTATGGGAATGGGGCTACTCTCCTCTGGGTGGCCTTCGGCGTTTTACCGTGTTTTGCCACCTCCTTCGCCCGCTTCAGGTCTCAGCCCTGTTAAAGTAATCATTTCCTTCCCCATTACTGCATCACACTGCCTACTTTGTTTCTCGGAGCCTGAGCTCCCCTGGCCTTGTGTGTTTATTGTGGTGGTGTTTTGTTTACAGCCTCCTTCCTCATTACTCTCCCCCACTACCCCAGGGGAACAGAAACTCTCTGAGATTCATTAGTTCTGGTTACCAATGTGTTGAATGAATATAAGCTGTGGGAGACTCAGTGGCTCGAGGGAAATAGGGTGATGTCCTAAGTGGCCCCTCAAAGTGTGAGTTGGGGCCCGAAGCAGCTGGGACATGGGTGCCCCGCTGCGTAGCTCCCAGCCCTTCTCTCCCCCACTTGCCTGTAGGTGACATGTATGAAGTTGGGGCCGAGAGTGGGCGCTACTACTGCCTCAATGTGCCGCTGCGGGATGGCATCGATGACCAGAGTAAGTGCTGCAGGTCTGTCCCTGCTCACTGCCCGTTCTGTCTCTGCCTGAGCTGACTGTTGGACCAGGTATCCTTAAGGATGAGTGGCCCTGGCGAGGGATCATGGATGCCCTGGAAAATGTATGCAACATAGTGTGTGTGTGTGTGTGTGTGTGTGTGTGTGTGTGTGTGTGTGTGAGAGAGAGTCTTAAGGGCCACTCATTTTCATCAGCCAGTCAGAGAGGGTTGGGACCCTCACCAGAAGTTCAGAACCAGGAGTTTGGTTCTTGGGGTTGTCCCTTTCCTTAGCAACATACTCGCTCAACCCCCTTTTCCCTTTTGTTCCCTGTCTCCCCATCCCCTTGGGGTGCCAGGTACCCATCTTTGGCCCTCTCCCAGGTTACAAGCATCTTTTCCAGCCAGTTATCAACCAAGTAGTGGACTTCTACCAACCCACCTGCATTGTGCTCCAGGTAAGACTGTCATTTCTCTCGCAGGAGAGCTCTGCCTGGGCTTGGGGGTGGTGCGGGGAGTCTCGGATCCAGGGGAGGGCCGTGGGGACATCCATGGTGCTCCGATCCGTTCCCTCGCTGCAGCTGTTGGGTTTGCTTGTTGCAGTGTGGCGCTGACTCTCTGGGCTGTGATCGATTGGGCTGCTTCAACCTCAGTATCCGAGGACATGGGTGAGACTCACCCTCCTTCCAGTTCCCCAGGTCTTCAAGGAACCCGGGGGCCCCATACATACATGGAATAGTAGCACTTGGGAGCTGGGCCTCACCTCTTCCTGGGAATCAAAAATAACTACACACTGTTCTTGACCCAGAAATGTCACCTTAAACAAGGTTTCCCCACTGATCACCCATTCTCAAGAGGAATGTGAGAAGTGTCCCCAGACTTGAGAAAGGACGATGAGAAGGGAGTTGGGCAGACAAGGACTTTCTCCTGGCCTTGAGTGTATAGTTCTGTGGAGGAAACAGGCAAAAAAAAAAAAAATTTAAGCAAATAAAATAGATTGTTTTAGCTCCTTAAAGAAAAAACAAGTTGGAAGCTAAGATTCTGAATATCAGTGGGAACCTCCTTAAGACAGCCTGATTGAAAGGAGTTCTTGAGGAGATGGAGTCCGAACAGAGGCCCTGGGGTAAAGAGGAGCAGAGGGAAGAAGTGTGTCTGGCCGGGATTGCTGTGGGGAGAGGAGAGGAAGTGAAACCAGAGAGGCAGGCCCACTGCAAGCTGGAGGAGGTGGCCTGTGTGGAGAGTAGAGGAGCCAGTAGTGGTGAGGTGGTGCAGGGTCGATAGGCCCTGCTAAGGAGTTTGAATAACACTTCCAATGGGAAGTGACCTGATCCACGCTGTGTTTTAAAGTGACCACTCTGCCTATTGGTGGGAAGACCAGTTAAGAAATTGTTGTTGTCTAGGCTGTGGGGTGCCTGTGCCAGGTGAGGCTCTGGGGATGGCTGGAGTGAGATTTTAGGAGGCTAGAGCTGTCAGAGCTTCCAACCAAAACCTCACTGCCATTGAGTTATTCCAACCCTCTGTGACGCTATAGGGTAGAGTAGAACTGCCTGTGTGGTTTTCCGAGACTGTAACTTTTCTCAGGAACAGTCAGTCACGTCTTTCTCCCAAGGAGGGACTAGGAGGTTCAAAGCACCGACCTGGCAGTTAGCAGCTATGTTGCATGAATGAATAGTTGATTAGCAGTGGGGGTGTGTGAAGCTGTGTATGTGTGTGTGGCATGCCACAGAGGATGTTGAGCAGGACAAAGCTGTACTTTAAATTTTTTCTTTCTTGGGGCCCATGTTTGTGGAGAAATAGAATTAAAAAGATAATGGAATTTTCCCTCAAACTTTTTGAGCCATGGTGTAGATAATGTATACATGATGGACAGAAATCTTTTAGGTATGACTCATTGGCCTTCACCAGCCAGGCTGAGATACAGAACGCGTCTCTCTCCCTAAAAGACTCCCTTGTGGTCCTTTCCAGGCCATACCTAGACGTGTGCACTTTGGCTTTTTTTTTTTTTTGCGCTTTGGCTTTTGGTAACACCCTCCACCCAGTCTTCTGGTTCCTTTTAACAGGGAATGTGTCGAATATGTCAAGAGCTTCAATATCCCCTTACTGGTGCTAGGTGGAGGTGGCTATACTGTCCGAAACGTTGCACGTTGCTGGTGAGCACCCCAAGTCCCCTTCCCCCCATCCCTTGTGAGCAAAGGGTTCCTGTGAGCTGACCCACCAGCCCTACAGCTGGCCTGCTAGCCTATCTGCCCTCCCTCCCTGTTGGTTGTTTTCAGGACTTACGAGACATCACTGCTGGTAGAAGAGGCCATTAGCGAGGAGCTTCCCTATAGCGGTAAGGACCTCCCCAGGATGCCCCCACAAGAGTAAGCCCGTTGTCACAGACCCCGGCCTGGCCCGCTTTAAAGGGAGAGGGGAAGTTTAGCCCTGTCAGAGCTCAGAGCAGGATGAAGCTGAAGGTCGGAAGGGGAAAGAAAACCGCTCGGGTATTCCTGAACCTTAGTTCACGCCTTCTTCGTCGTTCCTGTCTTCCTGACCCCAAGAATACTTTGAGTACTTCGCCCCGGACTTTACGCTCCATCCTGACGTCAGCACCCGCATCGAGAATCAGAATTCACGCCAGGTCAGCAGCTCTGGGAGATGCTGGGCGTCGCGTGGGAGGGAGGACCCAGTGGGAGTTCAGGAGGCAGAAGGAACAGAAAACTGAGAAGAGATGGGCGTTCTAAACAATCACCATCCCTGCTGTCAGCTAGGTGGCAGCCGAGATTGAAGTAGAGGCAGGCTGGGCTAGGAGGAAGGACAGTTGTCAGCTTGGGGTCTGAACTAGAGAGAATGCCACTGGGATTCAAAGTCGGCCAGTAGGGGGTGATCAATGGGTTTGGCAGAGTGATGCCCTGGGGTTCACTGGGAACTTCTCATCCTGTTTCTCATCCCCACCAGTACCTGGACCAGATCCGCCAGACCATCTTTGAGAACCTGAAGATGCTGAACCACGCCCCCAGTGTCCAGATTCACGAGGTGCCCTCCGACCTGCTGACCTACGACAGGACGGATGAGGCCGATGCAGAGGAGAGGGGTCCTGAGGAGAACTACAGCAGGTCTGGGGTTCGGACCTGGCAGCAGGGGGTTCTGGCAGCCCATGGCTAGGTGGGGGAGGCTCGAGAGGGAAAAAGTGAATCAGCTTGTTGTGAGTTGTTCCTGGCTCCCCTCCGTTGGTATTGGTGTGCCTCTGCCCTGGCTGTTGCAGCTCCCCCACTCTCATTGCCAAAGTGATGTGATTCATTGTGAAAGCTTCAGCCACCACCAGGAGATGCAGTGCCATTCCACAGAAATAACCTGCTCACCATTTAACTTGTGTTTCTTTTCAGACAGGCATGTTGGTATAGGCAACAAGTATACTACTCTTAAGTATATTACTCTTAACTGCATACACAAACATACATATACACTTACTCTCAGAGTGTTGTTGGCGTTTTGTTGTTTTTTTAAGTACAAGTAGGATCATTCTATGCAGTTTCTGCACAACTTAAAGTTGCGTTTTTCCCCTTAACCAAAACAATGTACCTTTCCTTTACATGTATATATGTGGATCTTTAGTTTTTGCTTTGTTTTTTAAAATATTTTACTGGGGGCTCATATAATTCTTATCATCATCCATCCATCCGTCCATCCATCCATTGTGTCCAGCACATTTGTACGTTTGTTGCCATCATCTTTCTCAAAACATTTTCTTTCTACGTGAGCCCTTGATGTCAGCTCCTCATTTTTACCCCCACTCTCCCTCCCTCATGAACCCTTGATAATTTATAAATTATTGTTATTTTCTCATGTCTTACACTGTCCAATGTCTCCCTTCACCCACTTTTCTGTTGTCTGTCCCCTAGAGAGGGAGTTATATGTAGATCATTGTTATTGGTTCCTCCTTACTCCCCCACCTTTCCCTTAACTCTCCTGGTATTGCTACTCTCGTTATTGGTCCTGAGGGGTTTATCTACCCTGGATTCCCTGTGTTTCCAGCTCTGATCTGTACCAGTGTACATGCTCTGGTCTAGCCAGATTTGTTAAGGTAGAATTGGGATCATGATAGTGGAGTGCAGGGAGGAAGCATTAGAGAACTCTAGAGGAAAGTTGTATGTTTCATCATTGCTACACTGCACCTTGACTGGCTCGTCTGCTCCCTGAAACTCTTCTGTAAGGGGATGTCTAGTTTCCTACAGATGGGCTTTGGGTCTCCCCTCCTTACACCCCCTCATTCACAATGATAGGATTTTTTGTTCTTTGATGCCTGATACCTGATCCTATCGACACCTCGTGATCACACAGGCTGGTGTGTTTCTTCCACATGGGCTTTGTTGCTTCTCAGCTAAATGGCTGCTTGTTTATCTTCAAGCCTTTAAGACCCCAGACACTATATCCAGGCACCATCAACTTTCTTCACCACATTTGCTTCTGCACCCGCTTTGTCTTCGGTGATATTGTCAGGAAGGTGAAGATCACGGAATGCCAGTTTAATAGAACAAAGTGTTCTTGCATTGAGGGAGTACTTGAGTGTAGGCCCGATGTCCATCTAATACTAGACCTATATATAGATGCACATAGAGCTATTTCCTCATCATCATATATAAATATATTTATATATGCACATGCCTGTATTTAGACCTCTATAAATGCCCTTTGCCTCCTAGCTCTTTCCTCTATTTCATTTTACTTTCCTCTTGTCCTACTATCATGTTCAGCCTTCATTTGGGTTTCATTAATTTCTCTTGGTTACATTGCCCTTGCTCAAGCCCTACCAGGCCTCCTACACCCTCCTTGTCATCGATTTTGGATCACTTGTTGTTCCCTGGGGTTGTTAACACCACTACCTTTCCCCCCGCCTTCCCCGATCCCATGTCACCCCAGAACTGTCGGTACCATTGTTTTCTTTTCCAGATTGTTTATCAGTTTTTGTTTTGTTTTAAATAATATAATTGAAAAAAAATATTTTGGGGGGCTCTTACAGCTCTTAAAACATTCCATACATCAGTTGTATCAAGCATATTTATGCAGATGTTGCCATCATCATTTCCAAAACATTTTCTACATGAGCCCTTGGTATAAGCTCTTTTTTACCTCTCTCCCCCACCTTCCCACCCTCATGAATCCTTGATCAATTATATATTGTTATTATTATTTCATATTTTATAGGCTCCATCGTCTCCCTTCACCCACATTTCTGTTAACCCATCACAAGGTTGGATATATAGCCCCACCCCCCACCCCTGAAGGGGATGAATTACAGAAATGTAGGATCTTGAGTATTTTATTGCTGTGATATTCCATTGTGTAGAGACTGTGATCTCATCAGTTACCATCAGCAGACATGTTGATTATTCCCCCCCAACCCCCCCACTATTAACAAAGGATGTGACCATGAACCTTCACAGCCATCCTGCTGCACGGGCATTTCAGTGGGGTGGGAGCCTAGGATTGTTGCTACTAGGGCAGAGGCTGTGCTCATTAAAATTTTTGTATTTGCTGCTACATTACCCTCCCAAGTTGGTAGCATTGTACTCGTTCCTTCCAGGTCACTGCCAAGTGCTGCGCTCTCGGGCCCTAGTCTGTCCTTCTCAGACTGCAGGTCCTTTCCTCTTCGCAAAACGTTCCTGACGACCCGCTCAGCCATCATCCTGGTCCTCCTGACACTCTGTTTGTCACAGCCCTGTTGCTTTATTTTATTCACAGCCCTTCCCAGAAGCTGAAATAATCCCATTTACTTATTTATTTTCTTTCTTAAGGGTTCTCATTCTCATCAGTTAGGTAAGATTTTTCAGGGAGGCAGAAACCTAGTCTGGCTTGTTTTCTACTGTATCGCTAAGGCCCGTGACGGTGTTTGGCCTCAAGCAGTCTCTCAACAAGTGTTCTCATGAGAATGAGTGGAGTTGTGGGTAGCACCGAGTCTCTGCCAGGAGCAGGCGAGGGGTGGCCCCCTGGCTGACAGGTGGTGCCCACTGAGACGCGGCTCCCGAGAGAGCACTCCTGTGGGAGGAGGCTGGGCATTGGAGAGGGAGACGCTGACCTCTCGCTCCACCTCTGCTTGCAGGCCAGAGGCACCCAATGAGTTCTACGATGGAGACCACGACAACGACAAGGAAAGCGATGTGGAAATTTAAGAGCCGCTTGGAATGATCTGGCCTAAGGAATTCCTTTTCACCGCTTGGTTGGACCGAGAGAGAAGGTGGCAGCTCCCCAGCCCTGGCTGGGCCACCCCCAGGGGTTGTCATCAACTCTGGAGAAGTTCTTCGGAGCCCACATCTGCTTCTAGATCCACTATTCCTTTCCCTGTCCCTCCCAAGGCCTACCAGTGGCACCTATTAGGGGAGGAAGGCAGGCAGGCAAGGAGAGCTGCCCTGGGTCATTTGGGACATTGGACCTTAATGGTCAGGCCTCAGCCCTTCTGACCCTATTACTCCTTCCCTACTTCCCTCCAACAAGAGACGTTTAGGACTGAATCCCCAGTGGAGGACTCGATGCCTCTGGCTTCCTCCGTTCCCAGGTTCTGCTGCTGCAGACCTTGTTTCTAGGACAGGTGAGGAGAGAACTTCCCAGAGGACTCTGGCCTCATAGCACCAGAGGGAAGTTTTGAGTTGGGGGAGAATATAGAAAAGGGCTTTATGTCCCTTTTACCACGGTTTTTATCCAATAAATCAAGTTGGTATTTTTTGTACCTTTTGCCTTTCTGGGAATACTCTCAACTCTTGCCAGCTGTCCATGTATGAAGGGAGGGGAAGTGGGAGTGATGGTACAGGCAATAAAGATCATAGTTGACATTCATTCAGCACTGCACTTGCTCAACATTGGGCACACCTGTGTAGGTGCTGTACATGTGTAACCTGGATTATAGTACTCTTATATAGGAGTTAGTAGAACATTCTGGCTAAGCAGTAGTAAACCTGTGCAGATTATTAGTTCAAGAGGAGTAGATGATTCCCGGGTTTTGAACCTGGGTTTATGGAGATAATGTTGAGATGAAATGTGTCACATTCTTACCACAGTGCTTGATAAGTAATTACTCATTATCTTAATGGTCTGTGTGAAGAATCCTAGATACTATAGTAGCCACAAACATGGGCCCTTCCTCAGGGAAGTATATAGTCCACTAAGGGAAAGTTTAGAAATTCATAAGCTGATAAATTTGGGCACGGAGATGTTGAGTTGTGGACTGTACCAGGTAGATACAACCTTCCACCCGACTGTTAGTTGAAGGCCAGATTCAGGATCCAGCCAGCTCAGTAGAGTCCCTGCCATACCATACATCAGGCCCTGGACTACACACTGGGTGCAACAAGAAGTAAAACACTCTGCCCTCCAGGAACTGTGCCATTGAGTGGATCATTCCAACACGTTGAGACCCTGAAGGACAGGGTAGCACTGCCCCTGGGGTGTTCTGAGACTTAACTCTATGAGAGTAGAAAACCTTGTCTCCCACAGAGCAGCTGTTAATTTCTGTGGTTGGCAGCCCAACTCAGCACTAAGCCACCAGGGCTCCTGCTCTCCAGGAACGTACAGGTGCGGTCAAAATGATGAAGCTCATTTTGCAAGAGCCTGTTGGACGCCAGGGACTTCTCAGACAAGGGACAGATACAGCTGAGAACTGCTGAAAGTCAAGCGAGAAGAACAGAGCTCATGTTTCATTCATGTTTGGTTTCTGTCTGGGGAATCCTGGTTAGAAAGGGCTTGTCAGATTTAAACTATATTCATGATAGATCCTTAAACAAGTTACTTCAACTTTCAAAGCCCAAATTTCCTAGCTGTAAAAGGGAATGTAGCAAAATCAGCACCGTGATTGTTGCCACGATGATTCCACTAGAGAAAATGTTTAGTACAGTATCCAGGATATGTTAACTATTATTGCTGAGTAGGTCAGTGTTTGCAATAACTGGTTTACTCAAATTAGAAACAACCAGGAAGTATTGAACTTGGGGTACAAAATGAGGCAGTATAGAGCTAACCTGGTTCAGTTTAGCTTTTGCCCTGGACCAAGCCTTATTAGTGTGTGTTTTTATGTGCCGGTTGAATCAGTTCGAACAGTGACTGTGTACAACAGTACAAAACGCTGCCTGAGCCTGCACCATTTTCACAATCATTTGTGATGTTGGAGCCACTGTGTCAGTCCATCCTGTTGAGGGTCTTCCTCTACTTTGCTGCCCCTCCACCAAGCATGATGTCCTCCAGGGACCAGTCCTTGCTGATGACTTCCGTGTCCAAAGTCCATGAAGTATGTCTCCCCATCCTCAACCCTAAGGAACATGCTGTACTACCTCCAAGACAGATTTGCTCATTTTGAGAGTCCATGGTATATTTACTATTCTTCAGCACCGTAATTCTTGGCACATAGCTTTCAGTAAATAGGAGGGGTCTATTTTTTAATGTGCTCCATAGATATTGCACACACAAAAACTGCATTATCTTGGAAAGCCCGGCACCAAGTGTTCTGCTGGTAGCAATCCGTATGACATTTTTGGTGGTGGTTCAGATATTAATATCCTGGTTTGGGGGATGAGCCCATTCAAGCCTGACAGCCACATGAGGGCTGCGTGGGACCCGGAAGGCAAGCGCTGTTTCGGTCCAACCGCCAGAGGGCGCGGCTATCCGCCACGGCCAATGATCACCGCTCCGCCCACGAGCCACCCCCCCACGTGGGTCCAAATGGTTAGGCCCGCCGGGCAGGTAGCGGCTCCCCTCCACCCCGCCGCCTAGTCCCATTGGTAGGGGCTGCGGGTCCGGGCGGAAGTGGGGCAGGCGGGCGGGAGCTAGGCGTCGTCGTTGTATATTCATGAGGCGCGCGCAGCCCGGCATGCTAATGAGGCGGGGCGCGGCAGCGGGCTGAGAAGCTGCTGGGTGGCGGTAGCGGTGGCGGCGGGCGCGGAGCGGCGTAGGCGCGGGGTCACCAGCCAGCGCTAACCGGGACATGGAGCCTCCCGGCGGGGGCCTGGGACCCGGCCGCGGGACCCGGGACAAGAAGAAGGGCCGGAGCCCGGACGAGCTGCCTGCGGCGGGCGGTGACGGCGGCAAATCCAAGAAATTTGTGAGTGTCCCTCCCACCCCGCTCCCTCTACCCGACGCCGTAACCGCCCTGTAGACCCCCCAGGACCCCCGCATTCAACCCCAGCGGCGCCCTCGGTCTCCTGGGAGCCGACTCGCGCTTCCCTTCTTCGTTTCGCGTGGTCCTTCCATCTGCAGCCGGGTCTCCTCCTCCGCCAGGACCTCTGGAAGCCCTGAAGTCCCGCAGGGCGCTCGCCCGGGCGGCCTCGGGGCTGCCTCACTCCCGCCGCCCCCGCCGGCTCGGGCCCCAGCCCTGCTCTCTCTCCCGGCCCCACTTCCTTTCTTCTTCCTCTAGCACCCGAACACGCCTTCTCTCGATCTCGCCTCCCGAGCTTTCCGGGGCTCATTTCGCTGCTTGCCCTCCTACACCCTACTCCACCCCCTCCCCACCCCCTTTCGGTAGTCGCTTAGTTCCTTCTACTAAAGGTCACTTCCTTCCCCACGGTCGATCCCATTCACCTGCTAACTTTCCTCCCGCCCTGTCCCCCGTTGGGCCCTCAGCCCGGTGCCACCTGGTAATCCTTCCCCTCAGGAATGTTACCTGAGGTGGGCCCTCCCTCACGTGTCTAGTCCCTTGGTCGTTTGCCCTTTCTTGCACAGGTGCACTGGTCATCCGGGCCTGACCTTCCTTTGCTTCCCCGGCTTTCTCCATCCGAAGAACCTGCCTCCTTGCCCTGTTCCCTGTCACCTTTCGGGGTGGGGGGGCTAGCACATCGCTGGCGATTGTGCCCTCCTTGACCCAGGGTGGTAATAAACCTCTCCCTGGGGGAGGAAGTTCCAGAAGTTTGTGAGTCATTGAATTGCTTTGAATGCACTCTGCTTGTTAGCCATCTCCTCCACTCCTCTTCTGCTGCCTCCTGTGCCCCCAGGCTGTTAGCACGACGTCCTACCTGTAGAGCAGGACAGCTTTTCTCGGTGCCAGTTTCTTCCAATCGGAGGCGGAAGGAATATAGATGATAGTCTGGTAACCTTATCATATTTCAACCTTTTACCCACATTAAATCGGTTTTTTACTCTACTCTCCGGGGAGCCGTTTGTCTGCTTTGCACTGTGAAAGCTTTGGAAGCTGTGAGGCATTGTCTTGGAGCTTGACAATCATTTGCTAGTGGTATCTGTAGTTATTGAGTCTCCCCTCCAGGTGTTCACCTCCCACCCCCAGATCTTCCTACCTACCCCGAGGCTTATCACTCTTCTTTTTCTTTCTCTTTTCTCTTACTCCAGCCCCTCAGTTTTGTGATCCAACTCCACCGATTTGGGAAGACCACCGATAGTGATGGGAACTGCACGAAATGGTTGATTTGTGACCTACTGGGTGGGAGAAAGATGATGGGACTTCCTGCTGTCCGTCAAGAGTGAGAGACTCAGAAGCCCGTAGGGTAGATGTACCCTGTCCTCTAGGGTCGTTATGAAGCAGTTGAGTCTAGGGTCGACTCAAAGGCTGTGAGTTTGTATTTGGTCTTGGACCAACAGGATTGTGATGGGGAGCATACTACACAGAATGTCAGAGGTGCCTCATTTCTTCCTATCTATTTCTAGCAAGACCAGGTGCTCCCAGACTGGCCTTTGCAGTGACTTCCATCCAGGCTGTCTGTTTTCGTTCAGTAAGCTTTCCCTGTGTAGGATTATTCAGTAAGCTTTCCCTGTGTAGGGTTAGTAAAAGTGACTACCTCCTTTGACCATTGAAACAGCATTTCCCTGTGTTTCTGAAGGATAAGAATTGACCCTCTTGTGAAAGAATTTCCCTTCTGAAACCATTTCTAAGGTCCATATTCCTTCAGCGTCTGCCTCTTTTTGTTTTGACTTTGTTTCCATGGATAGTGTTTGACCTTCCTAACCTGAATTCCAGTTATTCCACCTAATTTAGAGTGACCTCTGTGACTTGTAAATATTCTCCCCAGCCCTCAGGAAAATTCCATAGGCACATTTGATATATTCAGCCCTCGTGTGTTTCCCGACTTTGTGAGCTTACTGCGTTTGTAGCACGGGTAAGGTGAGCTGCTGCCTGTGGAAACTCGACTTCTTTTCACCTGTTTATGGAATGTCAGAGGAGGCTTGGCTGTGCTGAGTGGATTTGGCTCCTTGTTGCTGGTGTTTACTTAGAAGAGGGTGGAGCTGATTCAAGTTCTCTTGATTTTTCTGAGGTGGTGATCTTAACACTTAACCTGCTGAATTAAAAAATAATAATAAAAAGTAGCTCAGATAGAGGGAGGATTATATTAGTGGCTGGAAGGTTTTCAAGAAAGTGGTGGTGCTTAAACCCTTTATTGTCACACACAACCTACCTCAAGGCAAAAGACTCTTCCATCTTCCTCATTGCTTTTGATGAGACCTCTGTGGACATGGAATACCAGAAGGAGCATTGCATTCCGCTTCTGTCTGAGTCTGCGTGGACGTGTCTGTGGGTGGGGAGGCGGCGTTTTTGTAACTCCTGGCTTAGTTTTCTTGAACTACATGCTAAAATGGAACTCAAAGCTGTTTTGCCTCCCCCACCTATTTCTAGAGCGTGTGTTCTCTGGCACTCCACTAGGTGTACTGTATAAACCTACACTGGTTTGAACTAAGTATACCTGAAGATTATTTGTTTGCATAGTTGGGGTAGGGTAGAGGGGGATGTGACTAATCCCTTTAGTTGGTACATACCCTTCTGGTTTATGCAGGCTCTAAGTATAGATCAGCTGATGAGAACACAGCGTTCAAAGGTGGCCTAATATCTGCTCTCAGCCTCTGAGGCATCTTGTGGGCAAAGGTGGAATTTTCAGTTCAAAAAGTAGTTGGGCATTGAGAGGTAGTGACCTGAGTGACTGAAGCCAGGCCGCTTGGTAATCTCCCTGGATTCATCATGAGTCATTCTATTTCTTTTTGAAAGCTGAAGATGAAGGAAAGTCCGAGGCTCATTTGGAAAAATGAACAGACTTTGGAAGGTTTTCTGAATCTTCAGCAGTGATAACAGCAGTATCAAGTACAAGGGAACTGCAAAAGAGTTCATGGAAACATGGAATTACAAGATAATGGAATTTTGCCCTGCATTTTTTGAAGCCCCTTTCATATACCGGTTTTTGCAAGTTGAGGATAAGTAAAAGTTATTGCTATAAAATTATAGGAACTTTATTAAACAATAATACCAAAATCTCAAGCTATTATTTCTAGACATAGGTCTCCATCTAGATCAGTGGTTCTCAACCTTCCTAATGCCGCAACCCTTTAATACAGTTCCTCATGTTGTGGTGACCCCCCCCAAACCATAAAATATTTTCATTGCTACTTAATAAGTATAATTTTGCTACTGTTATGAATCATAATGTAAACATCTGATATGCAGGATGTATTTTCATTGTTATAAATTGAACATAATTAAGGCATAGTGATTAATCACAAAACAATGTGTAATTATATATTGTGAAATATTTATGTGTTTCCCAATGGTTTTAGGCGACCCCTGTGAAAAGGTTGTTCAACCCCCAAAGGGGTCCTGACCCACAGGTTGGGAACTGCTGATCTAGATCTATCTACTTCTGAAAGCAGTGGTTCCACTTCTGTAGACAGTGGCTTATTAGGTTTTGCAATGGATAACAAACCAGCAGTTCAAACCCCACCAGCTGCTTCTTGGGAGAAAAGGCTATCTGTTCCCATAAAGACTCAAAGTTTCAGAAACCCAAAGTGGCCGTTTCTGCTTTGTCTTGTTGGGTTGCTGTGAGTCAGAAATCGATTCTATGGCAGTGGTGGTGGTAGAACACTTCCCTGAGGAATTGATACCATGTCAGTGTGGTAGTGTGGGCATCCTTGAGGGACTCAGTTGTGTTCCTTTGGAATATGCTTTGCGTTTGAGGAACACAGAGAAGTCTGAAGGGACAAGATCAAGGCTGGATGGACCATGATTCCCCAGTGAAAGTCTGTGGCACAGATCCTACTGCCTTCAAAGAATGAATCAGGCACATTGTCAAGATGAAAAATACTCCTCCATGCAACTTTTCAGGCCTTTTTCTCACCAGGAGAGTTTTCCATGTTCTTACAGCTTCTTCATAATAAGCCCCCTTGATTGTCCTGTGTCCTTCTGGAAAATATACCAAGATTACCCCCTTGGGTTTCTAATAGGATCCCTCATAGAGTAGTGCTTATGATTAGACTATTAACTTTAAGGTCAACAGTTCGAAACCACCACTGCTACTTGGGGGAACAATGAGGCTTTCTGTTTCCATAAAGAGTTACAATCTCAAAACTCCACAGGGGCCTTTCTGCCCTGTCCTATGGGATTGCTATGACTTAGAATTGACTCATGGCAGTAAATGCGGATGCCAAAACCAGTCACCAGAATCTTCTGAGCTGACCTCTGCATTGAATTTAACTGGCCAGCAGATCCCCTTGGAAAGACTAAGATGAATATATTACTGAGAGAACTTGTCTGCACAGAGATATATTTAAACATGCTTAGAATAAACTTGTGCATGAACTGGAACTCTAAAAACAATATTTTGTACTTAGCTAGGCTAAGTGCAACCAGGATATTAGGAAGCTGTGGAATATGCTTACATTGAATATATTCCATGCCTTTTAAACAATTAAGCAAGTGACACATTCATATTAAGAGAGAATCTTCTGGCTCAGCTAAGAGCATAATTTTGTAAAGCTTGACTGTTAATGTGGGAATAGAGAGAATAGGAGATGTGTAATTGTACATTTTGTGTTTAATTTTGGAATTCTAACAGAATTGGGAAGAATGCCTGGTAGTGTCATGGGTTACATGCTGGGCTGCTAACCACAAAGGGCAGCAGTTTGAACCCACCAGCCCTTCCACAGGAGAAAGATGAGGCTTTCTGCTCTTGTTAAAGGGTTATAGCCCCAGAAGCCCATAGGGGCAGTTCTCCCCTGTCCTATAGGGGCACTGTGATGACTCACACAATCCTCGATGGCAGTGAGTTTGAGTTGTTGTGATCTGCTGAATGAATACTATGTTGCAATTTCTCTAAAAGCAAAGTGATAGAATAA